AGCAGAGGCAGACACCCACAGATATTCACTGAACTGAACTCTGGAACCTAGTTGCAGAGAGGGAGGAATGAAGATCAAAGGGATCGGTACCAGGCTGGTAATACCCACAGAAACAGGTGGCCTGAACAAGGGGGAGCACATGGACCCCAGACTGCTGTCTGGGAGGCCAGCACGGGACTGATCCAGACCCCTGAACATGGATGTCAATGAGGAGGCCTCTGCACTGGTAATCGATTAGTATTTTTCCCTGGTATAAGAAGGGACTTTGAGAGCCCATCCCACGTCTCAGCCTGGACACATGGGGGAGGGCCTAGGCCCGGCCCAGGATGATGTGGTGGACTTTGGGGAGGCCCCGTTGAGGGCCCAACCCTGCCTGGGGAGTGGAGGGTGGATGGGGTGGGGAAGGAGGGTTGAGGGTGAGAGTCCACATTTCTCTCAGTATTGTAAGTTCCTTATTTGTGTTCTGATAAATATAGTCATATGTGTGTATTTCTTTTTTCGAAAATGAAAGTTTTTCACCAGAATTCTTCAAAGAACATGAGAAAGTTGGGCAAAATGTACATGAATAAATATGATGACAAGACTTTCTCTTAAAAAAAAAATGGTGGTACAATAGCTGAGCAGTTCAACAGGCAAAGGTGCCTGCCACCAAGTCTGAGGACCCACATGGTGAGAACCAGTTTCAACTATTTGTCCTCTGACCTCCACACAGGTAGGCACCTGTGAGTGAATGCACCCATGTATACACACAAAAAAATAAATATTTTTTAAATCTAAGGTGGAAAGATCCCAAGGAATAACATCTGAGGCTGTCTCTGACCTCCATACCCAACTGTCCACCAGGTAAACATGAGCATGTACATACACAGAGGGAGGGGGTACTTTTACTGCCTTAAGTAAGTATATTTTCATAATCTATCACTCATAGGAAGCTCAAGTCATACATATTCTTATACAAAATGCTGGAAGAACTCCTACCTTACATATTTGTAAAAGTTATATAGCTATTAAAGCTACTCAACATCTAATGCACATTTATTTCTTATTATTACCAGCACTAACACCTTGAAGTCACTAGACAGCATAATTACAGTGAAGACAACTCAGCAAACACTTACTGGTTTAGCCGGACATCCAGAATGAATGATGTTCCAAAGGCATCCACCTGGAAGCTTGTCTTGTCCACATGAGTCAGCTGCAATATCAAAAAAAGGAAAGCATATTTATAGTCAGCTGTGGCGATTATTTATGTGAGTATTTCTTATTGCCATTCTGAAAGGCTCACAGTGTCACAAATGAGAAAGCAATTCAACAAAGAGGATAAATGACAGCATAGTATAGCAAAACTGTGTGCCTTCTTAGAAGCCAAGCAGTCACCAATGCTAAGTTAATTATCATCCAGTCAAGGAGGCAAGGGCCCTATATTCCTGCTCTGTCTCAAGTCTTGAAACAATGCATATCCAACTTTACCTCAGTAAACTTATTCCCTAGTTGCTGTGAGACAACCCTTTTGTACACTGTGAATATTTGTCACTCAATTTAATAAAAAGATGACTGGCTGGTAGCTTGACAGGAAGCATAGGCGGGACAGCCACACACAGGGGCCTCTGGGAAGAAGAGGGCATAGTCAGAGGAATCACCAGCCAGATGCAGAGGAAGCAAGATGTGTACAAAATGTGGTAACAAGACATAAGAATTATGGGCTACTTTAAATGTAATTGCTAGTTAGTAATAAGCCTGAGCTATTGGCAAAGCATTTATAATTAATATTACGTCTCAGTCTGGTAATTTGGGAGCAGCTACCAAGACACAGAGAAACTCCATCTACACCTAATCTATAAGCAGCTCTTTTAAAAAGTTAAGCTTCAGTGAGGAAAGTGTATTCATTCAAGAGTAAAATAATACAGCAAATATTATCTATTTACCAAAAAGACATTTAAACTAAAATAAAAACTCCTTTCTGATCAAAACTCTAATATATACTTTAACAGCATGCATGACAGTTCTACTTTGAGAAACCTAATTTCACAGAAGCTGCCACATATTTCTAAGAGCAAACTTATGCCCCAAATATCATCCCCCAAATGTTTCTATGATAAAAATAGTTACTGTTTACCGTGCCATTCTAGGAACTCTGACAATAAGCAGGGGCTCTAAAAGTACCTATTGATCATGTTAATATCTTCCTTCTGAATGATCGATCACTGTGGTGATATATTATTTCTAATTTATTAAAGCTTACCTGAGGATTCAGAAAGAAAAGTCAGCCACAGCCATAGAAGTCAAGAGATGGTGGGTCACACCTTTAATCCTAGGAGTCAGGATTAAGAGGTAGACAGATCTCTCTGAGTTCCAGGCTACCCAGGGATATATGAGATTGAATCAGTCTAAAAGATTAACAGATCACATGCTTTTAATCCCAGCACTATAGGGGTATAAAAGATAGAAGCAGGGTCTTCAGTATTCAGTAGGAGACATTCATCCTCCATCCACAGGATAGAAGGCTCAGTATCAAGGAGGGTGGGAAGACATTGGAGTCTCAAGATTCTCCAGCCATGCTGAGGAGAGGCAGCAATCAGAGGCTTGGTGAAGAACTTGTGCACGCATCAGCCCTTTCAGCCTGAGCTTGAGGTAAGAGCTAATGGCCAACTACTTTGCTTGTCTGACTTTCAGCTTGAAGGTTTAACCCCAATATCTTTGTCTGGGTCATCTATTTTTCATGTTACAAATCATGAGCCTAAACTGAAAAGAAACAAAACAGCCTATTCCATTTCACTCCACAACACCAGTAGGGGCTATCTCTAAACAACAGACCATGGATTACCAGATTTTTATCATTGTTTTTGTTCTGCTTATATGTTTATGTGCTCTTGGTTTTTTTTTTCATATGTGCCCAATTTCCTAAAATAAGTATGTATAATTGCTATTATGAGGAGAAACAATGAACATTATTTTAGAGCTAAAGCCACCACAGCCGCCTGGTGTAGTAAATGAGGCTGACAGTGCTGCTGGCCCCTGAGCAGCAGCATCTTGGGAAGGGGCATGAGAGGGCCCTCAGCCGGCTGGGAAAGATAAGCAATAACAAAGTTTTCTGGAACAAGATGATTCGCCTACTGAACAGTATTTGAAAGAATGCGGCCTGCAGAACCCTGTTCAGCAGCTGCTATGATGCCAGGCTCCTCTAACTTGGAAACAAGTGCTCAGACTCCCTTCTTCCACTCCACTCAGGCAAACCTAACTCTCCTCACTCTTCTCGGTCAACTCCAACTCTCACCAAGCCCTGGTTTCCTCTTCTTTACCAGGTCCTTCGAGTGGCATGTTACTCTCAACTCTACCACAATCCCCTGATCTGTCAAAGATCCTTGCTAAAACCCCAGTGTAAACTACACATTATGTATTCTACAAAGAGCCCCCTCCCATCCTGTTTCAAGATGCTAAACTGCCCAGTGCCAAGGAATAGAGCTTTAGGCCCCTACACCCCTTCCTACACCTTACTCAAGCTGACTTCTTTCATCTACTCTCAAACTCAGAAGAACATTACTGAAAACACGACTTGCACTGAGAGCTTTTCCTTAGCAGACCCTTGACCTGGGTGGTTTCCTGGAATTAACCCTATCTGAATTTCCAGACTCAGGTCAGCAGCCTTCCTAGACTCTGCCACAGAGCCCCTAATAGAAGGCCACAGACAGGGTGGTTTAAACAGCAGAGATCTTTGCATTCACTCTGGAAGGCAGATGTTGGCAGATTCAGTTTCTCAAAAGTTCTCTTTGTGGCCTCACCATGGCCTCACACAGTCTTTGTATGCACTCTTAGTCACTTCCCCTTCTGAGGCGATGAGTCTTCTTGGGTTGGGGACCCCAGGCTGATAATCTCATTAATCTTAACCTCCTCGTTTAAAGCCCTGTCTTCATGTACAATCACACTGCCGGTGATGGCTCCAACACAGGAATTTTCAGGGAACACAATTCGGTCCAGGACACTCCTCTCCCATGAAGTCTTCCCTCTCCTTTCCTCACCACAGGTCAGGGTGACATCAGAGATTCGGTGCTGGCCACACCAGGAACTCACTCCGTATTTCCTGAGTGGCTACTACAGGCTGTTTTATTAATCACTTAGTGCACAAGTGAACAGTGATGCAACTACAAATTACCTGCTTACTGACATACCGGCTTCCCATTAGGCCCGTACGCTCTTAATGCCAGGTCAATAGAAAGTGTTCTCTCTGCCTAAAAGCTCTTGGGGTTTCCTAAAGTTAAGACCTTGTTTTGGGAACAGCATCAGGAAAGCCCTATTTACCAGAACTGACTTCCCTTCCTCCACTCTTCTCAGGCCCTTGTGTGACTATGACAGCTTTTATCTCAGTCTCCTCTGAGTTAGAAAGTCTAACACCGTAAATCTGTGCTGAACAGGCTACATCAGGGTGATGGCTCAGACCAAGGCAATGCTACCATTATCCTTAGCAAAGATACTCTATTTTCTCCTTTTCAATTAGTATGTGTCTACTGTATATCTGCATAAGATATAATGTAGTATTTCAAACTACTGCAACATTACTATTGGGGTGACTAGCATTTCCACTTCCTAACCACTTCTTAATATGTGGAGCCTCTGAGCTCCTCTCTGACAGTTTACTGGGAACTCTCATCGCCCTACAGTGCAATAGAATACTGGAGCTTATTACTCCATCAAATGTGTTTTGGTACCTGTTATCCTACCTCCTACCACCTTCTTTTCACTCCTCTTCCTGGCCTCCAATAATTACTATTATTTCTCCTCCTTCTCTTTCTCTTCCTCCTCCTCTTCTTCTAGACTAGCATATTAAACTGCCACATGGGAAAAGCACAATATGAAGTTCTTGTCTTTCTATCTGGCTTACCTCAGTTAACAGCATGTCCTCTAGTACCATTCATTTTGCACCAAATAATTCACTCTGATTTTTATGTAACTTTTCCTACACTTCCTTCTTACTTCTGCTTTTTTAATTGTAAAGGCCTCGGCCGGGTTCCAAGGAGACACTTAAATTCAAAGAAAAAACAAGGAAAGCTTATTTTAACTAAGGTTCAGTTTTTTTTAAAGTGTGTATTACTTAACACAATTCTAACATACGGTGGTTTTCATGGACAATATTCAGAATGATCCATTGAACAAATTTCTCCCACCAAGTGCTGGGAAAGAGTTAGACTGACCAAATTTCTGTTCTTCTAGAAGGAGTCAGAAAGTGGACTATTAATTAGATAAAAAAAAATAAGTTTAGAAAATAAATCCACCCTTTTAAGATTTAATAAAATTAGGCAATGTGATTAAAATTACCAGAATGGATGGGGGTCCTCAGGTGGTCTTGGAAGACCTTTCTGATGTAATGTAGTGACTTCAATGAGGCAACAGCAATGACTAGAAGGCATCTAGAAACATAGGCCTGCACAAGGTCCAACTTCTTGTCCCAGGACTGTGAACACACTGTCTTACATGACAAGAGAGATTGTGAGAGACAATGAGTAAGCTAGAGACTTAATGGGGAGATTATCCTGAGTCACTCGGGTGGGTTCTGTCTGATAACATCTGTCTTTATAAGAGGGAGGCAAAAAACAACCCTGTACAATAGAGGAACTTTTGGAGGCATCACCATCCCTGACTTCAAGCACTATTACAGAGCTATAGTCCTGAAAACAGCTTGGTATTAGCACAAAATAGACACATAGACCAATGGAATAGAGTTGAAAACCCTGATATTAATCCACACACCTACAAACACCTGATTTTTGACAAACAATCCAAATATGTATGCTGGAACAAAGAGAACATCTTCAATAAATGGTGCTGGCATAACTGGATGCAAACATGTAGAAGACTACAGATAGGCCCAAGCCTTTCGCCCTGCACAAAACTTAAGTCAAAATGGATCAAAGACCTCAACATAACCCCAGCCACACTGAACCTATTAAAGATAAAGTGGGAAATACCCTTGAATTAATTGGTACAGGAGACCGCTTCCTGAACATAACACCAGTAGCACAGACAATGAGATCAACAATTAATAAATGGGACCTCCTGAAACTGAGAAGCTTCTGTAAGGCAAAGGACATAGTCAGCAAGACAAAACAGCAGCCCACAGACTGGGAAAAGATACTCACCAACCCCACATCTGACAGAGGGTTGGTCTCCAAAATATACAAAGAACTCAAGAAGCTAGCCTCC